AATTATTTTTTTAGAATGAATTAGAAAAAAAAAAGGGGGGGGGGGGGGGGGGGGGGGAGAATTAGTCCCCGATCGTTGATCGTATCTCTAAATTCTTTAACCCTTTCTGATGTTAATAACTAGAATTAAAAAAGGGAAATGTTAATGCATCTGGAAATAAACGATTAATCTCTATTAATAAACCTGCTAACGAACCGAACCATAGAGTACTTAGTACCGGTGCTACGGAAAGATATGTTTTTAGATCTCGCATTTGAAATCCTCCTTCTTTCTTCTTTAATTGTATTACATTATATATAGTAATATATATATAACTACAGATGTACATGTAGTTAAGAAGGTCTTGTATTTGTATACGTAACCTTCAAAATTATAATTGAAATATTGTCTACTAGAACGATCTTATAGATTCCATTTTCAAATGGAAACGCCTATTTATGTAAAATGGAAATTGAGAGAATTCTTGTAAAAAAAAAGTAATTTTTTTAATTATATATATGTTTGTTATCTGATATGAGATAAAAAAAAAGCGGGATGTGGAAAACAAGACAGGAATTCTCTACAATGACACTGTAAACCAATTGAAAGGGATGTAGCGCAGCTTGGTAGCGCGTTTGTTTTGGGTACAAAATGTCACGGGTTCAAATCCTGTCATCCCTACCTATTACTGCTCTTCTGAGCAGTAACGAGGGATCTATTTTAGATTTATCTTTTTTTAATAAAATGGGACATACATATAATTATGAAATTTATGATATACTATGATATAGTATATACGTACAAAATCGATTGGGGTTAAAAAATGCCCTCGTTGTAGCCTTTTAGTTTTTTAGAAAAAACAAGAAAAGCGCTCTTAGTTCAGTTCGGTAGAACGTGGGTCTCCAAAACCCAATGTCGTAGGTTCAAATCCTACAGAGCGTGATGTCACTCTTGTTTATTAGATTGTGTCAAAATTCCACTGTTCGCAAATAATTGAGCAGCAATCTGAATTAGACCTACCGCACATGAACGCAAGGAGGTAAGTAAAAAAAAAAGATGTTAATTAATCAAAAGTCCAACTGATCACCACGTCTGTATTGTAAATAAGCAGTTACGAATAATCCAGCCAAAGTAATAGGAATTAGACCTAAGACGATTCCAAATAAAGAAACTTCAATCATTTCAATTTTCTTTTGTTTTAATTTTTGAAAGGGAGAAAAGAGAGGTACTATCTATTCCTAGCTCTTAATCTGTATTGCCGATGAATCTCAACGACCAAAATTGGGTAATTAACATTGGGTAATTAACTATCGAACATATGAAATACCATATAAATCCTTTTTTATAAAAAAATCTTCATTCAATTAATTTCAAATAAGTCGTATTTTGCTTAGACCAATAAATAGAACTGAGGTTATAGTTAAAGCCGCTAGTAGAAAACCGAAATAACTAGTTATAGTAGGCATGAAGGGACTCAATAAAATATGTTTATTTATACATATGTTTCTAAAGTACTTCCCTAAGTTTCAATAAAAAAAATATTTATTTTAACTAGATTTTTAAAACTTGTAATTAGCAATTTCTATTATCGTTTACTTTCTAGGTTTTAGGTTTTTTTCTTTCGTGATTATATAGAAAATAGAGTGAAAAACCCATCATCTTTGTCGTTAGTTAAAGAAATAAAAAAACCTTTGAATTGAATACAATAAAACAACGCACGCATTAGAAATATTTAGTATTATTATTATTTTTATTATTTGTTGTTCTTTTTAATTGATCCAAAACGATTCTTCTTTTTCTTGTTACTGGAAATTCATTCCTTAAAATGAAACAAAAAGCAAAAAGGGAGGATCACATTATCATTAAAAAAAAATAGCTTCTACAAGTATGCATATACAGCGAAAATGCAATTTATGGTTTTTGGATTCAATTGACTTGGGACAATATGAGAATTTCCTTAATGAATTATTATAATTAGAAACTAATCTCTTGGATTTTAATTTTATCTAATCTTGAGTTTGTTTTATAGTCCAAAACGAATAAAGGATCGAAGCCTCTATAGATTACAGGTACAGGAATTTTAAGAAGTGGGACATGGTTATACATCGACAACCAAGATAAAAAAAAAAATAAATTATCTAACAGCTCATTTCTATACTAATTCAAATTGCGTTGCTGTGTCAGAAGAAGGGTAGCTATACTGATTCGGTAGACTCTAAAAATACCCTTGGTACTTTATTGACGATCTCACAAAGATGTAATCTCAGTAAATTTGAATTTACTTATTCATCTTTTACAGAATCGATTCCCTACGAGAATATCTGGAGTTCACTATGTCTGGAAGCACAGGAGAACGTTCTTTTGCTGATATTATTACCAGTATTCGATACTGGGTCATTCATAGCATTACTATACCTTCCCTATTTATTGCGGGCTGGTTATTTGTCAACACCGGTTTAGCTTACGATGTGTTTGGGAGCCCTCGTCCAAACGAGTATTTTACAGAGAGCCGACAAGGCATTCCATTAATAACAGGCCGTTTTGATCCTTTGGAACAACTCGACGAATTTAGTAGATCTTTTTAGGAGGACCCAATGACTATAGATAGGACCTATCCAATTTTTACAATGCGCTGGTTGGCTGTTCATGGACTAGCTGTACCTACCGTTTCCTTTTTGGGGTCAATATCAGCAATGCAGTTCATCCAACGATAAACCTAATTCAATTATAGAGCTATGACACAATCAAATCCGAACGAACAAAATGTTGAATTAAATCGTACCAGTCTCTATTGGGGGTTATTACTAATTTTTGTACTTGCTGTTTCATTTTCGAATTATTTCTTCAATTAAGAAAAGAGCGTAGAATAATAAAATAAAAAAGAAAGAGTAGTAATTTTCTTATCCCATTCGGATGGATTATATATCATAATTATCTCTGACTGTTTATGTTTCTAGCATGACCACTCGATGAAATGTGGAGGGAAGCGAGATAAATGGCTGATACTACTGGAAGGATTCCTCTTTGGGTAATAGGTACTGTAGCTGGTATTCTTGTGATCGATTTAATAGGTATTTTCTTTTATGGTTCATATTCAGGATTAGGTTCATCCCTGTAGAAATTGGATGAACTGAGTTATAGACGTGAAAACATAAGAACTCAACGGGGCCCAACTCTTCCTTCTTTGTCTGATTCGAGGGGGTCCCGTTGAACTGCGAATAATCAGAACCAATTTTTATCGTGTTTTTGAAAAGTGAACTTAATTAGATTAGTAGATTGAGAACATATAGTATTTATTAACCTTTCAAAGATAGAATAAAAAAGGGGAATCACTTAATTTCCTTTTCCTGCTTTCCCGGCTGACACAATATTTTTTATCAGCAGATTTATTATTCAAATTTTGTCTATACTAATAGTATTCAAATTTTGTCTATACTAATAGTACTTACTTTCTGATTTTTTTAGTATTTCATAAAAATTTAAATAAAAATAAATAAAAAAATCAGAAAGTAAATACTATTAATTAATATATATTTTAAAACGTTATATATATAAACAGTAATAGATATGTAAACTAAAAATAGGAATTTTAACGAATGGAATCCAGACGGACAAGATCGACACAATAAAAGGAATTTTAGACATCCTTTTCTTGTGTCGAAGACTAGCAAGACAAATAATACTCCCTATAGCCCCAAAATTAGTTGTTCGCCGATTTATGGTTCCCTTTTTTTTCTGCGCCTGCTTTCCTTATCTTATTTTAGTATCTAGTTTTAGTATCTAGTCAAATTTTTGCATTCTAATAGAAAAAATAGAAAAAAACTCTTGATTATTAATACATTCTATCAATTTCAATTGGTCACTAACCACAGAGTTACATCCGACCCCTTATAAATTTTCAAATTTGTATTGAAAAATAAATAAAAGGGGGTTAAAGTGAATTCTTCTCAATATACATGGACTATGATACAAGTAATTCCTGACACCTGGTCGAAAAGTAATAGAAAATATAAAGAGAGGCAAAAGGCTTTTCATCATTTTTTTTGTTCTTTTTTACGAATTTGATAAAGCTAAATAGACAGATCTAAAAATTCATTTCGGATAATTGAACCTTCTCAAACTGTTTCTTTTTAAGAACCAAAAAGATTTGTGCCAAAACAACCGATCCTAAGAAAAAGTGAACTTAATTAGATTAGTAGATTGAGAACATATAGTATTTATTAACCTTTCAAAGATAGAATAAAAAAGGGGAATCACTTAATTTCCTTTTCCTGGTATACTTGGATAAACAATTACAATTACTTGAAATGCGTAAAGCGTCTGTAGGTATTCTTAAATCCCCTTGTATGACTTCATAATAAGGAGAGCTTGAATCAGATAAAGAAAAAAAAAATATTGAAGAAAATTATGAAGAATCGACGATAACAAAACGTAAAAATAAAAAACAATACAAAAGCAATACCGAAGCGGAACTTGATTTATTTCTCACAAGGTATTCGCGTTTTCAATTGCGATGGAATTGTTTTCTATCTATGTAATCAATGACATAGATACCAATCAGAACAGCTTCATAAATAAATTAAAAGAATCCTCCTTTTTTAGATCTAAAAAACTACCATTATTATTACTGATCAGTAAAATTCATATCTTTCAATTCATATTAAAAAATAAAAAAAAGGAAGGATTTCTTTTTATGATAAAAAATGCATTCATTTCATTTCAAGAAAAAAAAGAAGAAAGCAGGGGTCTGTTGAATTTCAAGTATTAAGTTTCACTAATAAGATACGAAGACTTACTTCACATTTGCAATTGCACAGAAAAGATTATTTATCTCAGAGGGGTCTACGAAAAATTCTGGGAAAACGTCAACGACTGCTGGCTTATTTGTCAAAAAAAATTAATTAATCAGTTGAATATTCGGGAATTAAAAACTCGTTAAATTCCAAAATTGTGAATTAGTTAATTTTTTAGATATTGAATTTTTTGATAAACTTCTTTTTCAGCAATCTAATTCATGCCAGAACGAATAAAAGAAAAACTTATAAAGAGACCAGTTACAGGAAAAGATCTTATGATAGTCAATATGGGACCTCACCACCCATCCATGCATGGTGTTCTTAGCCTAATTGTTACTCTAGATGGCGAGGATGTTGTTGACTGTGAACCCATATTGGGTTATTTACATAGAGGAATGGAAAAAATTGCCGAAAACCGCACAATTATACAATATTTACCTTATGTAACGCGATGGAATTATTTAGCTACTATGTTTACAGAAGCAATAACAGTAAATGGACCAGAACAATTGGGAAATATTCAAGTTCCTAAAAGGGCCAGCTATATCAGAGTAATTATGCTGGAATTGAGTCGTATAGCTTCTCATCTGTTATGGCTTGGCCCTTTTATGGCAGATATTGGGGCACAGACTCCCTTTTTCTATATTTTCAGAGAACGAGAATTTGTATATGATCTATTCGAAGCTGCCACCGGTATGAGAATGATGCATAATTTTTTTCGTATTGGAGGAATAGCGGCTGATTTGCCTTATGGTTGGATAGATAAATGCTTGGATTTTTGTGATTATTTTTTAATAGAGGTTGTTGAATATCAAAAACTGATTACACGAAATCCTATTTTTTTAGAACGGATTGAAGGCGTTGGGATTATTAGTGGCGAAAAAGCAATAAATTGGGGTTTATCCGGACCAATGCTACGAGCATCCAGAATACCATGGGATCTTCGTAAAGTTGATCGTTATGAATCTTACGATGAATTTGAATGGGAAATTCAGTGGCAAAAACAAGGAGATTCATTAGCTCGTTATTTAGTACGACTTAGCGAAATGACAGAATCCATAAAAATTATTCAACAGGCTCTCGAAGGACTTCCGGGGGGTCCCTATGAGAATTTAGAAAGCAGAGGCATTGATAGAAAAAGGAATACAGAATGGAATGATTTTGAATATCGATTCATTAGTAAAAAACCTTCTCCTACGTTTGAATTATCGAAACAAGAACTTTATGTAAGAGTTGAAGCACCAAAAGGGGAATTGGGAATTTTTCTGATAGGAGATCAAAGTGGTTTTCCTTGGAGATGGAAAATCCGACCGCCGGGTTTTATTAATTTGCAAATTCTTCCTGAACTAGTTAAAAGAATGAAACTGGCTGATATTATGACGATACTCGGTAGCATAGATATAATTATGGGAGAGGTTGATCGTTAAAATGATAATTTATGCAACAGAAGTACAAACTATAAATTCTTTTGTTAGGTTGGAATCTTAAAAAGAGGTCTATGGACTCATATGGATATTTGTCCCTATATTTTCTCTTATATTGGGAATCATAACAGGTGTACTAGTAATTGTGTGGTTAGAACGAGAAATATCTGCAGGGATACAACAACGTATTGGACCTGAATACGCCGGCCCGCTGGGAATTCTTCAAGCTCTAGCCGACGGGACAAAACTACTTTTCAAAGAAGATCTTCGTCCATCTAGAGGAAATGCTCCTTTATTTAGTATTGGACCATCTATAGCAGTTATTTCAATTTTACTAAGTTATTCTGTACTTCCCTTTAGCAATCACCTTGTTTTAGCGGATCTCAATATCGGTATTTTTTTATGGATTGCCATCTCAAGTATTGCTCCGATTGGACTTCTTATATCAGGATATGGATCAAATAATAAATATTCTTTTTTAGGTGGTCTGCGAGCTGCTGCCCAATCGATTAGTTATGAAATACCTTTAACTCTATGTGTTTTATCAATATCTCTACGTGCGATTCGTTGAATCATAAACGTTTATTTTGACTATTCTGTTTCTTCTAGACGAATAAGTTAAAAAACAGACTATATATATATATATTTATTTATCTTTCAGGTTAACTTAATAAAAGTAATTTGATAGTTATATATGAGTGAAAAAAACTGCTTCTAAATTAGCAGTAAAAATAAAAATTGAATCTCATTTCCTATGTACAAAGGTTAAACGAAAATAAACATAAGCGTAAGAATAACTTTACCCCAAGGTTGGTTGATTAGTCATCCTGGCTTGAAGCGGGTTAAAAAAAAGATTAACCGTATGACGTTTTCACTATCAGTTATAGTTATATAGATTAACATACATGTATTACAAAGTGAGCGGCAATTAGGTAAAATGAGTGGATGTTTAGAAACACCAAAATACACAAAGAATTTGTAATAGAGATTAATCAAAATGAAAAAGGATATTTTTGCATAACAGAAGATAACAAAAAAAAGAAGGTTAATTGGAGCTTGAAATTCGTAGAAATGATCAGACAGTACTTCCCAAGATTCCGATTCAGAGTATGCTCCTATCCACCGATAAATGTAATGACTATCAGAAACGAAATAATCCTTTATTTTTTAAGTCCACCAACTTTATTTTTTCGAAAAAAATAAATAAGAAAAAAAACGAAACAAAGATATTTATTTTCATATATTTAGAAAATAAAATAGACTTTATGTCATGAATAAGAAACTAATAGGATGTCTAATTCTTTTTCGTAATTGAAAACTAAGACGGGCGGAAATACATATTTTTACGTTTACTAAGGAGCATTTTATTAAAGGATTCAGTTATTACTCAACAAATAGAAATTAAAATTTGTAAAGGATGAGATGAATTCCGAAGCGCTTTTTTTATTCTTAAGAATTTTAGCAGACAGAATTCCATTGGTATAATTCGGGACCCCGGATATATTTTTATTTAATCCATTTTAGAACACATCATATCGATATAAATAATACTAATCCGGTCCTTAGATTTATTTATGGCCCCCGAGGAGCCGTATGAGGCGAAGACCTCATGTACGGTTTTGTAATAGCGTTGAGAATAGTAATGTTATCACCGACTATAATTATCTAACAGTTTAAGTACAGTTGATATAGTTGAGGCACAATCAAAATATGGTTTTTGGGGATGGAATTTGTGGCGTCAACCTATAGGTTTTATCATTTTTCTAATTTCTTCCCTAGCAGAATACGAGAGGTTACCGTTTGATTTACCAGAAGCGGAAGAAGAATTAATAGCGGGTTATCAAACTGAATATTCCGGTATCAAATTTGGTTTATTTTACGTTGCTTCTTATCTAAATCTATTAATTTCCTCATTATTTGTAACAGTTCTATACTTAGGCGGTTGGAATATTTCTATTCCATATGTATCTATTCTGGAGCTATTTGAGAGGGATTCCATTTTTAGAACACCAATTGGTATCTTTATTACATTAGCTAAAACTTATTTGTTCTTGTTCATTTCTATCGCAACAAGATGGACTTTACCTAGGCTAAGAATGGATCAACTATTAAATCTTGGATGGAAATTTCTTTTACCGATTTCGCTTGGTAATCTATTATTAACAACTTCTTTCCAACTCTTTTCACTCTAAATTGAAAATGAATCCAACACATTCTTTAAACAAGAGAAAGAAATAAAGATCAAATTATTCATAGATAATTACAATATGCTTCCTATGATAACCGGGTTCATGAATTATGGTCAACAAACCCTACGAGCTGCAAGGTATATTGGTCAAGGTTTCATGATTACCTTATCCCATACAAATCGTTTACCTGTAACTATTCAATATCCCTATGAAAAATTAATAACATCAGAACGTTTCTGCGGTCGAATCCATTTCGAATTTGATAAATGCATTGCTTGTGAAGTATGTGTTCGAGTATGTCCTATTGATCTACCTGTTGTTGATTGGAAATTGGAAACTAATATTCGAAAAAAACGATTGCTTAATTACAGTATTGATTTTGGAATTTATATATTTTGTGGTAATTGTGTTGAGTATTGTCCAACAAATTGTTTGTCAATGACTGAAGAATATGAATTTTCAACTTATGATCGTCACGAATTAAATTATAATCAAATAGCTTTGGGTCGTTTACCAATGTCAGTAATTGACGATTACACTATTCGAACAATTTTGAATTCACCTGAAACAAAAAATGGGTAAACCCATTAATTTTATTAAAAAAAGAATCCAAAATGGTTGAATTATATAAAAAATTTAATTAAAAATTTGTATTGTATTTATATAATAATATTAAGTATTTAAGGTGCATTCTTTTAATATAATATATTCGTAATTACTTTATTGAATTCTTGAAATGGATAGGTTGAAAATAAACTTTAGAATAAATAAAGAATAAAAAAGGCGAAACTGTCTAATAATTGTATCTACCTCAATTCATATCCATTAGATTCTAATTTTACTCTATTAGAAACATATTTAAAACAAATTCCCCGGTTAAATTAATAAGATCATGAAAAGGATTTCGATTTTTTTCTTATTTTAATAATATAATGGATTTGCCTGGACCAATACATGATTTTCTTTTAGTTTTTCTGGGATCCGTTCTTATAATAGGAGGTATGGGAGTGGTATTACTTCCCAACCCAATATTTTCAGCCTTTTCCTTAGGATTTGTTCTTGTTTGTATATCTTTATTGTATATTCTATCAAATTTCCATTTTGTAGCTGCTGCACAACTCCTTATTTACGTGGGGGCCATAAATGTTTTAATCATATTTGCTGTGATGTTCATGAATGATTCAGAATATTCCACGGATTTAAATCTGTGGACTGTTGGAAATGGGATTACTTCATTGGTTTGTACAACTATTCTTTTTTCATTAATTTCTACTATTCTCGATACGTCATGGTACGGGGTTATTTGGACTACAAGATTAAACCAGATTTTAGAGCAAGATTTAATAAGTAATAGTCAACAAATAGGAATTCATTTATCAACAGATTTTTTTCTTCCATTTGAACTCATTTCAATAATTCTTTTAGTTGCTTTGATAGGTGCAATTTCTGTGGCTCGTCAATAAAAAAGGTTCTAATTAGTAAAGACCAAAGAAAACTTTTTGTATGTTATGAAATTTTTTTTCCTAATATAGGTTTTATTCGTACTTTTTTATATTTTAATTGATTGAATCCCGTGAATTTTTTTTATTATTCATATTGAAATGAATCAAAATTAATAAGGAGTTGCTAAATGATACTCGAACATATACTTGTTTTGAGTGCCTATTTATTTTTGATTGGTCTTTATGGATTGATCACGAGTCAAAATATGGTTAGGGCTCTTATGTGTCTTGAACTTATACTCAATGCAGTTAATATTAATTTCGTAATATTTTCTGATTTTTTGGATAATTCCCAGCTAAAGGGGGATATTTTCTGCATTTTTGTTATTGCAATTGCAGCTGCTGAAGCAGCTATTGGATTAGCTATAGTCTCGTCAATTTATCGTAACAGAAAATCAACTCGCATCAACCAATCGACCTTATTAAATAAGTAGCATAAATAAAAAAATTATAGGTTGAAATTTGCATATATGATAGGTTATTACTTACTAGATTATATTTCTAGATTATATTTGTGAAAATCTAAGAAATCAAAGTATTTTAGCCCGATTTTTTATCAATTGAGCCGGAATTAATTAAAAAATTCTATTAAAGGAAATCATTGCTTCATCTAGTATTTTAATATATCATTTAGTTAGAAGTTTACTAGATTGAAAATTTATGACATTCAAAAAACTATAGATCCTATGTCACATTCAGTAAAAATTTATGATACCTGTATAGGATGTACTCAGTGTGTCCGAGCGTGCCCTACAGACGTATTAGAAATGATACCTTGGGATGGATGTAAAGCTAAGCAAATAGCTTCCGCTCCAAGAACCGAGGATTGTGTTGGTTGTAAGAGATGTGAATCTGCCTGTCCAACGGATTTTTTGAGCGTTCGGGTTTATTTATGGCATGAAACAACTCGAAGCATGGGTCTAGCTTATTGATACGTTACCGAAAACCTCATTTGAATAAATTTAGAATACATTTTATTTTTTTTATTGACAAGTACTCGTACTCAAAAAAGTGAAATTATATTTTTTTTATTTATATATTTTTTTTGAGTACGCGTTCTTTGGACCTGGTGTATCTTGTCTTTACCACGAATGATTTTCCTTGGTTAACAATGATTGTTGTTTTTCCAATATCGGCCGGTTCGTTAATGTTATTTCTCCCGCATAGGGGAAATAAAGTCAATAAATGGTATACTATATGTATTTGTATATTAGAACTTCTTCTAACGACCTACGCCTTTTGTTATAATTTTAAAATCGACGATCCATTAATTCAACTGTCCGAAGATTATAAATGGATCAATTTTTTTGATTTTTACTGGAGACTGGGAATAGATGGACTTTCTATAGGAACGATTTTACTGATGGGATTTATTACTACTTTAGTTACTTTAGCGGCTTTTCCAGTTACTCGGGATTCCCGACTATTCCATTTCCTTATGTTAGCAATATACAGCGGTCAAATAGGATTATTTTCTTCTCGGGATCTTTTACTTTTTTTCACCATGTGGGAATTAGAATTAATTCCCGTTTATCTCCTTTTATCTATGTGGGGTGGAAAGAAACGTCTGTATTCAGCTACAAAATTTATTTTATACACTGCAGGAAGTTCTCTTTTTTTATTAATAGGCGTTTTAGGTATAAGTTTATATGGTTCAAACAAACCAACATTAAATTTAGAACTATTAGCTAATCAATCCTATCTTATAACACTCGAAATACTATTTTATATTGGATTTCTTATTGCTTTTGCCGTCAAATCACCGATTATACCTTTACATACTTGGTTACCTGATACCCACGGCGAGGCACATTACAGTACCTGTATGCTTCTCGCTGGAATCTTATTAAAAATGGGAGCATATGGGTTGGTTCGAA